AATCTATGAAGGAATGTATCGGGCGCTACTTTTTGGCAGGAGTAGATGACTTTATTGAAACAATACACAGCCGCAGAATGGCCGAGTTCCGAATCGTACCAATACTTTTTCGAGGTATGCATCTAGTGCACCTCTGGGTGCAAATACAGCCGTTCGGGTAGTATGAAGGACGGAGTGGTCGGATGTACCGACAAGCCAGGTGCCATTAGATCGGGGTTCGGTTGAGGGGACACACTCGCTCGTGGGTACCGTAAGGATGCCTGTGCTTTCCATTTGGTATAAACCAGAAAGAGCACGTCGCCGTCAGCCTCTTCGCTCTGGGACTGAGATGCTATAGCGGAAGCAGGTATCAGCGCCAGCTCTCCGTACTGCTTCGATTAAAGACCATCTTACAGTTACTCCTTCCGCAGCCGGCGCCTGAGGAGATAGCTGCCATATCCAGTACAGCTGTTCTGTGCATACTTGCAGCACGCTGCCCTCGGCATCGCGGCCACCCGGAACAAGCCGTTGAGACTCCACTTCGTGCGGCTTTGTGTTTTCTCTGTCTCTTTGGTTGGGTTGTGCTGTGTTGAACTGTTGCTTGTGCAGGGGTGTACCTTCGACGATGACTTCGGCGCTGTCCAAGACGCGATGCCGACTCATTGGGCCATTAATCAACTGCAGGCCGTTCGATTACTTGCTTAGATCAAAAGATTGGGAGCTCGGGTGGCGAGAATGGCATTGGTATTGGCCAAGGAACGGTGTTGGTTAGGTATATATAGGGCAAGGCATGAGGAATGGCCCTATCCATTCATATTGTTATCTTCCTCCTGAAGAGTCTGTGTACAGTACACAGACGAAACGCGTCGAGGGATTGCCGTTGCATTATGGTTTCGGGAGTTTTTGTCTTCGGAATTATGATGTCGGATTTCAGTTTTGGTTTCAATACTTTGCGTGCGCGATGGTGTGTTGAGTAATGAGTGAATTCGTCTCCTCCATCCTCATGCTGTCACTGTCTTTGCCGGACAGTCTTTTCTCTTCTCCTGGCCAGGGATGCTGTATGTTCATTGTAAATGCTCTCAAGACAGTCTCTTGGATGTGCGTAGTTATTTTCATGGACACATGAGCATATGCTCATTCGAGGATGATCAAGCCACAATACATTCCATCATAAGATGCTACGCCACCGTGTACCGTCTCACAGGATTAAAAATTGTCCAAAACATGGTTGGAAATTTCAAAGCTCAATCTCATCACGCAGAGAGAATATTTCGAACTTGATGAAATGTCAATTCTACCTTAAACCACCAGTACTTCCCAAAGTCATGCCCATTAACAAGCCACGATTTTAGGAAACGTATGGGCCACTACAGGAGCGGCCAGATTATCCAACTAGACGCGTTTCCACGGCCGATAGCTGGGCCGGGTACTGGTGGTTTAATGTTTGTACTGCCGTGTTCATGGTAGCTTCTCTATCCCGATGATAATTTAAGTTGCTGTATCATGTCCATCCTTTTCCTTTTCAAGAAAACATCCTCGTGTCCCTCCGCCATCCAGAGTTTCCCTGGCTGGTGCAGCATCCTTCTTTTTTTTTTTTTTTTTT